CTGAAAAACTTTCAAAATAAGACACCAAGGACTCTACAAAATAAATGCCTTTTCATTATACAAATTAATTCATGATGCTAATGGGTATGATCCCAACTAAAGCAGTTTTTTGAAATTAGACAAGCAATGCCTTTTCACAACACACATGAGTGAACCTTTCAAAATAAAGCCCTCACATTTCCTCTATAATAAAGCATTGATAGTGAAGCAACCTAATAAGAGGACAAAGAGAGATTCAACAATTGAAAAGGAATTCCATATCTCTCCAAAGTCTGACCTTATGCTTAAGACACAGCCCTGCTAGACCTTCAAAATAAGAAAGGTCCTCTACAAAACAAAAGCCCAAATAATATACTCAGCAATTTAATGCATTATAGAGATCTTTATCAATAACCCAGCCACGACTATGTCTAACAACACCAATCGCCAGTAGGTGTGGCGATGCAACAAGTTCATCTGGGGCCACAGAATATCCCCAGGTATGGAAACACTTCTACTCAGCTCTTGGTGACAAAGTCTGTTTCTCATCTTAATCAAGAGGTTAAATCCATACTTCACTGCCTCACTCCATCTAATCCATGCAACTGTAACCAGCACCTTTCTCAGGAAGAGTGCTCGAAAAATTCTCATGTTTCCACTTCAAGTGTTTTTCCCCCTTCAAGATCTCCCAAGGTTACCAACCACCCCTTTTCCTTCAGATGAGAGTGATATCTCGGTCACATCAGTTCACCATCATATTCACTGCTGTCACAAGGCATGGCGCGATACCATGGTTGCTCTCAATCGCACCCCCTCCCAGAACAAAAGGATCAGAGATGCATCCTGGCTTTGCTATATTCCCCTGGTTGGCAGGTATTGTTATCATCCTAGCATATTCCGCCCCAAGCTATGTCCAGGAAACTATTAACCACATAGATCAGCCTTTTCCCTATTGATTCTATTATCAGTCCTCTGCTGCCCACTTCCATCTTTCCCCCAGTCTCCGGATTCATCCCATGTTCCATGTCACAAATTAAACCAGTCCATACTAGCGCCTGGTGCTCTCCTTCCAAGAGCCGACTCCAGTCTAGCCAGTGTACAGTGTTAGATGGATCATGGCCTCCCGTCAACATGGACGGGTTTACCAGTATATTGTTGATTGGGAGGGCTATGGTCCTGATGACCAGGGTACACTGCTCCTTCAGCTTGGATCAATCCCTCATCAATGACTTTGAGGCTATCACCCCATTTGGGTGATGTTTGGATCCTTGTCTGTTGGTGTGTTCTTGTTTGTTTTTTCTTCTCCCTCCTAGTTTCATTGGGGGTATTCTGCTACTGCGCTGGACAGACTCATCACCTTTTTCCCCACAGGCAGCATTTAGACAAGTGGATAAGGCCTCCTCCTTACCTCCAGCTTATAAGAGCAGTTCACCAATCACTTGGCACCTATGTGTTAGCCATCCATGGTAACATCGAGCTAAGTTTCAGGCTCCGTCCACACGAAGCCGAACCCTGGCCTAAACGCACAAATTTTTCACCAAACCAGCCTCTCATCCATACGAAGCCGGCGTTACGGGGGTCTGTAAACAATATTTTTTTTATCAGGCCTTCAGAGGGGGAAGATTTTGAAACGCCGTTTTCGCGTTTCAATCTTTAAGCTCTAACCGCATTTTTGTTTTTACACGCATGCGTCATAGCGTCGCCTCTAAACACGCATGCGCGACACAGTATCACAACAACAATGGCGCTGTACTGTGTTGAATGGTTGCTGCTCATGCTACTCACCCTGCTGTCGGGCTTACAACAGAATCTTCTTCTTCTGGAATATCTCCAGGAAGAACAGAGCAATGTCGACGACATAGTTCAGCACCTGAATTTGACTGAACTACGAAAATTGACCCGCAGGGCAACCATGTATAAATATTAGTGCGCATGCCCAACATGTCTTCGCCTATTTTTGCTTTGGCACCACAGCGCCACTTACAGGCCTGGCATACATTTTGCAGCGTTTTCATGCATTCGTGTGGACGATCACATTTGTTTTACGTCTCCGTATTTACGACAAACGTTCTGGAAAATATTAGCGTTTCGTGTTCGTTTTGACTTCGTGTGGACGGGGCCTCAGAGATATACTCCTAATTGTTTTTAGTACTCGGTCTGGTGCTTAGTCCCTAACAACATTTTCTTGTGTATTTAGTCACCCAAGGTTTCAGCAGAGGCCAGATCGCTTCTTAACACAGGTTAAAGTTGATATCTAATTCTGAGGCTTCCAAATCCTGGTCTCCTGTTTAAACCAAACTACCATTCAAAATCTTCATCTGAACTCTTGGTCAAGTTTCCACAACTGGTAATCACTCCTTCCTGACATCCCCACCTCCCGTTTATACAATCTGACCATCCAGTCTTCTCAGTGAACACTCAGTCAGTCCAGCCACCTGCTTCACCAATTTCAAGGCAAATCCAGGTAAGGCAAAAATTATTTATATAGCACAATTCAGTACAAATACAATCTCAGCAACTTTACCTGGATTACCCCTTGCACCAGCCACTTAACGTCTTCTAACGTCTTTTAATCCACTCACAAGTATCTTGTTCAGATACTCATCCTAAACCATCTTATACATTGCCTCATGCTGTGTCTCCTACACGAGTTTCCCTGTCGTGTCCCTGCGTTGCCAGCAACTTGGATTCCTTGTTTCAACTGTGCATTCAATAAATCACTGTAACAATTTTTGATGTTGCCTTCTGAGAGTATCTTTCAATGTGGGTCAGAAAATTAGACTGTCATGACACATACCATATAAGCATTAGGTGTCCAGATAAATACAGTATAATCTAAACAAAATATGTCAGTTTGAAGCACTGGATGTGACTTATATCTCTAAGGGGTTTAGTTTTCAGTTTTTATCATGACCTTTTTGTTGAACTTGTTCATTTTGACTAGTTTTTCAACATTTCATCTATCTCTTGCACTGTTTGAGAAGGCTTTAGGTTACTGTTCTTCAGTAAAAACCCCACCCATTGTTGCTACATAGCCATGAAAAGATTCCCTGAGATAATCTTACCGACATACACAAAGCTATGGATATGGATTCAGTTCTTGAGACCACTAATGTGGATCAGGTAAATCAGCTGCTGGATCTTAGACATCACAGATGTAATGAAAATCACCTATATGTTTAGCTTCAACCAAGATAAATGCAACCTGTGATGAGCAGCTCCAACAGCTGGTAAAGCTGTGGGAACTCTGAAGTTTGAATTGCTTATCAGATTTTGTTTGGAGTCATTGCTGACTTGTGGTGGATGCTCATATACAAAAAAGGGCAGCAGTTTGCTACATTTTCTTTCCGTCCCCTTACTGGATGCTATAAAACACCTCCTGATTATACAGTTAAATTTGTAAAAAATAAAAATAGTTCAAAGGTGTTGAACACAGAAATGATTGAGTCATAGCTCTTATGATGTGATAAAACTAAATCTTAATCAGAAAAAAGAGCAGAGTCTGAAGGATGATTACCACATGCAGTGCAGGAGCAACGTTTACTACCGGTGGATCAAAAGGATAAAAAAAGGAGTTTAAAACTTCCCCCTCCAAAAAAAAAAAAAAAAAAAACAAACATAAAAGAACATCTGAAGAGCTTTAGGAAAAGTGTGCCTGCAGATTGTTTAGTGTTAAATCTGACAGGGAGCCTAAATTTATTTTTTTGTTTGTGCTTAGAAATAAATTAGCCAGAGGAATCCTTTGAAATAAATGTCAGTAAAAACCAAATCATACCATATTACAAGTTTTTGCACTAAGGAATCTGCAAATGGATTTAGAGAGGAATAGTTTGTTAAAAACTATGCAGAAGAAAGTGAGCCTTAGGTACAGTAATTAGCATGTCTGATTTAACAGGTTACAACACTGTATTTAGCTGCATATTTGAGGGTTTTGTTATGATGAAAAGTATTGGCTTCAGTGCAGTGGAATAAATCACTTTTATAATCATGAGACAGAATCAAAAGATCTGTTGAAGGACCAGAGACCAGGATAAGTCATGTGGCTGCTTTACAACAAGATAGAACATCAGAGATAAAGGAATGTTGATCCTCTCTCTGATCTCTAGTGATGTGTCTGCTCTCACATGCTGTTTTTATTAAGAGTTTTCAAGGAGCTAGAAGGCTGGGTGACTAAAAAAAACCTATGACAGATAAAGATTTGAAAAGCCGTTTAGAGTAATTTAGCCGAATTTGGAGGTCTGATAGGCTTCATTCTAAACGTTTTGTTAAAACAGCTTTTTAGTACTCCAAACCTCACAGCATAATTTATTACAGACAAGATAATTTGTGTTCTGTCTGTCTATCTATCTGTCTGCCTAACTATATTTATTTGTATTGATCCACCTTTTGGCCATCCTAAACTAAACTATGCAAGCAATGATTTATCAGAAGGGCATCTGACAGTATGTTAAGCTCAATACACAGTGAGCATCATGTCAATACATGCACATGTTCTTCAGGTTTTGTAAACCCCTTTTTACTTAATTTATGGAGAAATCAAATTGGCAAACAAGAAGTTTAATAACCTTAGGGAATAACCTGCACACAATAAAACCTGTAGAACCACCAGTAACTTTAAATTCACTAAAAGACTAAGCTATGTAGACTCCATGATTTCAGCAAAGGTCTGTATTATTGTACCCTCTAAATTCACTCTAAAAAATATCTTATCATTAGAAAGATGATCAGAGGAATTAACTGGATTTATCTGACATACAAAAAAACAAAAAATAAAATAAGATTTTACCATATTATTCAATTTTACCTCTTTATGCACATCTAAACAAAATCACCCATAGACATCTGATGTAACATGCACAGGGTTTGAGACCACGGGGGCAATTTACAGCTCCAATCACAAGATAAGATTGTGTACAAAGAAACAAAGAAACAAACAAAAAAATGGCACAGATAAAAAACTACTATCAAGAGTTAAAGGTTATAGGTATTTGTTGTGTTACAGAGAGCGAAGATGGACCTACCTGCTCTGGCTGCCATCATGAAAGAGAATATGAGCACAGCTAGGCAGGTAAGAGCACACCTGAAACACTTGCTGCCTGAGGCTGAAACTGTCAGAGATGAAGAGAAAAATCACTTGGAGGAAATGTGCACACGTTCAGAATAAAGCTACATGAGCTCTCTAACCTGTCTAAGATTTTTTTTTTTTTTTACAAAATAAAGTGGGTTAGGGGGTATGCACGAACAATACATTATATCTGCTAAATCCCCTAGGGTACCTTTTGTCAACTTTCCCCATTCCCCGCCCAAAATTACAGTAATGATATCTTCAAAGTCAGTAAGGTTTTTCAGTCCAGGTGTTCAGAAAACAGAAAGTGTGAAACATTGTTTTTTGATTCAGACGCTTTGACAACTATAATCAGATGTCACAGAGTAAATGGATGACCCAATGTTTAATTTAATTAGAAAATGAATTCAGACGAGCCTGAATTCATGAAAAGATAGCAACTCTGTGAGGGTTGTAAAAGAGCCCAGTGAAGGTCCTGAAGAAGCCCTCTAAAAATCTTAAAAGGTGGCCTCAAAGTCTACACATGGTTGTTTGGGGGTGAAGATGAGGTTCAATTTTTGCCTGTTGAGGTTGCTGGGGCAAAAAATCATGGCTTAATGGTTTCCTTGGAGATGTTTCTGATCTTTGGTTTGTTGTTTCTGACTGAAATCATCCCACATTGCTGCTCCACAAACTGAAAGTTTGTAGATTTTAGTATTTCTGGTCACTGTTTCTCTCTGTGTTCAACAAGAGGTGAGTGTTTTCACCTGTAAAGTCGTCCTACTTTCTGTAATGTTCTCATTGTTAGCCCCCAGTTGAAGGTAGGCCCCCAGGTGACTTTGTTAGTGAACAGGTTGAAAAACTCCTTGTTTGATGAAAGCAACAGCTAAGGTCCTCCCACCATTATTGTTAACCCTTTCAAAAAAGCTTTGTTTGACACCCAACCATGGGCTGAGTCTGCACTCTCATAAACAAAGCCATCAACCTCAGCCAGGTGTATAAAAGCTGGGAACCTGCAGGTATGACTGCACTCAGCCTCTTCCAGCTCCACTCCGGCAACATGGCCCCTACAGACATGAACATGATGAGCAGGGTAAGTCCACACAGCCATCAATATTCCTATGCTTTCAAGGTTGATCAATGCAGCAAATATTGTGGATCCTGGTTTAGCCCCAAAAACATAGTTATTGCAAGTTAGGAGAGATAGTGATATTTCCAGTTAGTCGACATTACTTCAGATATAATTGCTTCATCTTTATTCATTCTTTAACTAATTTTCTGGAAGAACAACAATGAGAAACATTTGTCTCTGTATGCAGAAACCTCATTGAGAATTAGCATAAAGCTGAATTTCCTTCAGTAGTTTGTTATAAGAATACCACTGAATGGTTATATACAGTAGCTTATCTGAAGGATAGCTGAGTTCAGAGCAATATAACAGTAAAAGTGTGTACACAGCTCAGAGAATAGGGACAGTATCAACAACATATGGCTAAATAATAATCTCAGATGGGTAGAGTAATACTTTTTCAAAGATGAGGCATTGTAATCTTTCTTGAAGACATTTAAGATGATAGGTTAGAGAGACCAAGATATCTACAGTGTATCTTAGTTTATTCTTGCTCCTCTATGGCCTTTTCAGATCAACCGACTCCTGCTGATCAAGACAGACTTCAATGTAAAATTATAGTTGAATTAAAAAATAGGGGTAGAACAAGGGCGTAGGTTTGATTTGAACTTTGGTAGGGACACTATTGGTCTGGTGTCATTGGTGCTATGCAATATGCATGCCCTTTTTTATGCTTGGCATGAGCATCAGTACTGACGAGAGGAATTCTTTGTTTAAAGAGAAAAGCAGCATTTTGCTACATTGATAAAAATGTTATAAGCAATACACTCAATAGATGCTGTTTATCAATGTTTGAAGTATCAGCGGCTCTGATGAATGTGGAATTAGGACTGTTTTCCACTTTGAAAATGGTTTCATTTGAATGACTAAGACAGAAGGCAAATACAGTATTTTCTTTTGAAGATATAGAATTTTGCAGAGGTGTCTCTGCCTCTTATATTTTTATCTGCCATGCTCTCTCTGTATCAGGCAAAATAATACATTCATTAAAATATTAACTTCACTATAAAAGTTGAACATCTGGGCTGTAGTTACTCTGTGTAGCCCAAATCATGTATTTTATCTGGGGCTGAAAAAATGAATCGTATTAATTGATTATTTGAATATTCTAATTTGGTAAGTAAGTCATCATTAGCTGGAGTATAGAGACTCTAAAACATACCGGTAATATAAATGTGAAATGTGCCTTTCCCCATCAGAGTGACCCACTTAGATCAGTAATTATACCAAAATTGTAAAAAAAAATAAATATAATAAAAAAAAAAAAAAAAAATATATATATATATATATATATATATATATATATATATATATATATATATATATATATATATATATATATATAGTTAGTTGCTGCCCTAATTTTATCGTAACATTGCAAACGCATTTCTTACTAAATACATGTGGAGATAACAGGCAACCAAACAAACATGTTAATCAGGCAAACTATATTAAAATCCATGTGGCATCATTTGTGAGCTCCAAAAGAGACCACAGAATCCAATTACTCCTACTGAAAAAAACAAGACAAAAAAATCCTCACCTAAAGCCCTGAAGGTTCAGACACTGTTCTCTCTAGCTGTGCTGCAACATCACTGCTCATTGTTTGAGTCCCCTAAATCCAGCCATTTCAAATACAAATTTATATTTTTATTGTTTATACATAAAAAAGTTGCTCCTTATTTTGTAATTAAAATCATTTTGACTTCACCTGAAGCACTGAAGGGCCAGCTGCTTCACCTACAAGCTGCCCTGCATTATTATAACTGGATTCTGTCTTTCCTATAATCATATAAAATTACATTTAATGATTATAACTGTGTTTTTAATATAAAAGGATTAAATGAAACACAACCTTCTATATCATCCCATGTAACTTACTGTCTGACTGTTAAAATAGCTCCTTATGTCTATTTTCTTTTTTAGTGGCATCATCTACAAAGTATAACACTAAGAATTAGCCTTTAAGTTCATTCAAATATAAAATCCCATTTAACGATTATAAAAGACAATATAACACTATCTTATCTGTAATGTAATAATATCCTAAATAAACAGCCAGAATCAAGCATTATTTACCAGACATTAATGTTTGTACTAATTTACTTGTAGACTGTGTAGAAATCTTTGTAAGATTAAATCAATATTAATGGTGTCCCTCTGTTTGTTCTTGTCTTTATCGTATTTCTAGAAGTAGAAATTGTCAATTAAATATAAGTATTATTATGTGGAACCCTAATTGTGCTTCTTAAACAAAAAATAGCAGATGTTTAGGCGCCATCTCTTATTGTTATACTCTATAAAAGAAATAACAACTGCTAATGATTATACCTGAACTTTCTCAAAGAGTCATCAAAAAATTAAACAGTAACAGCAACTAAATATCAGAAGATCGAAAAAAGGAAAGCCTCAGATTTCCTTTATCAGTCAGCTGTGGCTAAGAATCAGAAATGCTGATGTCTTACAGCCTTTATTTGTTCATTTTTCCAGCAGTTTTCAGAACTTCTGGCTGATTCAGAATACTTAGTTTTATAAAAGAAAAAAGTTTTTTGTTTTTTAGCGTACATGATATTCTGTTTTTTAATTGGGACTAGTTTTGTAGCCTAATATTAATTGTAATTAATATTAATAGTATTCTAGCGTGAATAAATTTTCAATTTTGTGCTCCAAGTGCACACGGACTGGAAAACAGCCAATCAGAGAGAGAGAAGGCGGAACTTAAGGCAGGACAACCAATTAGAGTGGAGATAAACAGTGAAGCACAGTGACGTACACTGTCACTTTAAAGGGACAGGAGAGACCAGGCAGGCACTCAGACGGAGCTGCAGCTACTAAGCAGCGAAGCTGCGAGAGGAAAAGAAGCGACTGCTGCAACAACGCTGGATTGTAAATTATAAACATGTTGCTCACATAAAATTATTGGCAGGGAAAATTAAGATGGTTCAAAATTTTGGTAGGGACATGTCCCTATGGTCCCTATGCAAACCTACCGCTATGGGGTAGAAAGATTGTGATTATTGTAATCTAAAACAACTTATTCATCAGGACCTCAAGGATTAAAAAGCCTTATCTTTCTTCATGCAACTTGTTTCCCCTCAGATCATCTTCTATGAAGACAGGAACTTCCAGGGACGTTCCTATGACTGCAACAGTGACTGTGCCGATTTGTCCTCCTACATGAGCAGGTGTCACTCCTGCAGAGTGGAGAGAGGTTGTGTCATGGTCTACGATCGCACCAACTACATGGGTAACCAGTACTTCATGAGGAGGGGAGAGTATGCCGACTACATGAGCATGATGGGAATGAGCGATGGCATCAGGTCCTGCCGCATGATTCCTATGGTAACCACATCTTTTACTAAACTATTCTATCCCCATGGTTACCAGTCTCCCAATACAGCATATATCATCTCCATGGTAGCTACTCAGCTTACAGCACTACATTGCCCCTTGGTAACGAGACACATTTTAACTAAAGTGTTCCTCATGGTATGCAGTGAGACTTCTTGCTGGGATGTAACTGATACCTATAGATGTGTTGTATGCATATTGAAATATTACTGTGAGAATATATGCTATATGTTAGCATCTTAGGGGGGGGGGGAGAAAATGACTTAATGTCCAATAGCACTCTAAAGGCTGATTTATACTCAGAAACCAGGTCGCTTGCATGTTTGTCACAATGAATGCAAATGGGTCTCCGCCCCTGCCGCAGACACTCTGCTGCACCGCTTCAAAATTGTAGATGACCGCAGACAGGAGGCCTCTGATTGGTCAAATCTACATCCGCCCTATCTATCCGTATGGTACCTTACCAGCTTGCTGTGTTGTATGACCGCCATTGCGGAGAACGATTTGGGAAGATGGACAAGCTACAAGGGTGAGGTGTGCTAGAACGCTGGGACCCTCTTTCCACCTGGATCCCCGCTCTGTTTCGCCCTCATGTCCCTCCTTTGGCGGACAAACT